CATTAAAGATGTACAAGATGTACCATTAACTGTGACTAATGTCTGGAACCTATTTTAATCTGTAATTGAGGCCATGGGGGGCGTGTACCCCACTGCTTTATAAGTATCCACAACATGTATTTTGGTCAGAAGACATATGTTGATGTTTTCTCCGAGCTGTTAATAAACTCAACGTTTGATTGCACTTTTCTGGGGCCTCCGTGGTTTGTGACACTGCTCTACATTGATCGATTTCACGACACTGCTAAGAAACAATGATTAAGGAAAAGCAAGATGCAGTAGAGATTTGTTTGGGCAAGGAAACACAAGCAATGAACATCAGACCACTGGAAATCTGTGCTTTGGTCTGATGAGTCCAAATTTGAGATCTTTGCTTCCATCCATCATGTCTTTGTGCCAAGCACATAAGGTGAATGGATTGTCTCTACATGCATGGTTCCGACTGTGAAGCATGGAGGTGCTTCACAGTGGTGTGAGGTGTGATGGTGTAGGGGTACTTTGCTGGTGACACTGTTGGGGATTTATTTAAAACTAAACCAGGATGGCTACCACAGCATCCTGCAGTGACATGCTGTCCCATCCGGTTTGTGCTTATTTGGACCTCTTTTTCAGGGTCCTCCTTAGTCCTCTTTTTCAACAAGACAATGACCCAAACACACCTCCAGGTTGGGTAAGGGCTATTTGACCAAGAAGGAGAGTGATGGAGTGCTGTGTCACATGGCCTGACCTCCACAGACACCTGACCTAAACCTAACGGATATATCCTGATGGACAGCAGGCAGAAGGGCCAGCCTATACAGCTTGGAGTAAGACAACATGCATGAAGAGGATGATGTGGACAAAATACTCATTTGCCTAATAATTCTGCACTCCCTGTAGTAGACTTAGCTTTGGAACTTAGACTTCCAAAATGAACTTCCTAAACCTAGTAGACTTACAAAACAGCTAAGAGACAGCTGATATTTTACAATGGAGTTTACAATTTTAACATTTTTGGAGCATGTTTGACATCAGTCTTCAGGATCTCAACAAACCGTATCAACTTGCTGATCCAGATGTTTCTATTCTGGCTGAAAATGCTCTGACTGTTCTCCCTGCATTTAAATACTCTAACGTCAGTTTTAATTAAAAAACAAAAACAAAAAAACAAACAAAAAAGCTAACATAAACAAGTATGACACATCTAAATATCTGAAAATAAAGAGGAGGGTAATAGTAAAATAATATTAATGCAAGAAAATATGAGCCTTATTTCAGCTTCTATTAATAATCGCTGCACTTCAATCCGGTCTTTTAGTCTGACATTAGCCTTTTGCTTTTGGGTCGCTACAGCTGATAAATGCAGTTATTTGTTCCTATGAACTGTGAACATACACACAGGAGAAGACTAAAGAGAAGAATACACTGTGCTCACAGTTAGAGTGAAATTACATGTTATCTCAGGAAATTATTTTTTTGGGAGGGTGACGGTTTTCTAAAGAAAAAATAATCTGTGCACGGAGATGATGCAGACACAAACCTGAAAACTCCAAACAGTCCAAACATATGAATATCAGTTATATGAGAGAATCTAAAGTGTGTTGTGTTGTTTTCCACAGGTGCAGAATGATGAAGATGACGGTACAGTGACCTATGAAAACTCTCGAGACTCTTCTGCTTCTGTCAGACTCCACTGATCATCAACATCAACTCAGCAAAGAAACAAGGCGACTTCTGCTGAAGATCATCTCATCACATTTTATATGTGAAGAACACAGACTGACGAGATTTTCAATATCCTTACACTCCACTTTTCATCCAGTAAGATGAGGATTTTATCATACAGTGTTTCCTGCCATGTTCACATAAACCTCCCGTGTCGAGCTACATACCGTCTCTCTCCCTCTGCTTTTACTCTTTTTGTCTCTCCATATGTTGTGTTTGTGAGAGAGAGACTGATCAGCTACATCTGTCTCAAATACCTAATCACAGCCATTTAAACACACTTTCATCCACTCAGTCATTTCTAGATTGTTGTGTTAGGTGTGTCTGTAGCATCACTCAGTCTCCATAGAAGAACCTTGACTTCTTTGCATTTCCTGTTTTCTCCTCTGACTAATCTTAAATTTCTTTAAATTTCCTCCTCCTGATCAAATACTCAGTTCTGGAATAACTGCCTGCTCTTCCTCCACCACTCACCAAACCCAGCAGCTGGAACCATTCACCCTCACCTGCATTTTCAAAGTCTTTGTCATAAAACTCTCAACCTGATTCCAGTGTTACAGCCTGCTTTAAAGTCCACTTCTTCTGTTTAACAATAATAATAATCAAAAAGCAAATGTAATTTCAAACCTGCATATAAATCTGAATGAAACAGTTTGATCTCACCTTCATCTAACATGAACATGTAGATGCATCATTTACCTGTCAGAGTCCGAATGACTGATAGTTCTTAAATCATCCGTCACTCTGCGTTATGTGATCTGTAACAACTTGTTTTTGTTATAACTCATGAAAATATAACTGAAAGTATTTATGAAGCATTTTCTATCATGTGTGTACATTTGTGTGTGGACAGCTCACATTCCCATATGGAAAAGACATATATATATATATAAATCTTATAAAGTTTGTATCTGTCTTGTGTGAAACTTGTATGAAAAGCATACAAGAGTGAAAACAGATATAAGATTGCTTGAAAAATCATATAAATGAAACGTGTATGTTTTGGATACTTACTAAAACAATATATGAAAGTAATGAGAAAGTGGCCACTTTCATGAGTAAATCATATAAGCTTTATATGATCCATTATATGAAGTAGGCCACATCTTATGCAAGTCTTTTATAAGTTTTCACTATTTCTTTTCCATATGGGTTGTGACAGCAATGTAACTGATGACAAGAGTTTAACTTCACTGTGTGCTTTATTGCCATTTTGCCCTCATTATTATGTTTTACTATAAAAGTATCACATGAAATACTTAACTGCCTGTTCTGTTTAAATACATTTACATTTTTATGAGCACACTGGTAGGATGCTCAGCTATAAAAGGCACATTACTGTGAAATAGTTTTAAAAGGTCAGTGGCAGTGACAGTCCAATCACATTTGGTAGAACCTCAAAATCCCATCCTTTCGTGAACCTCGGGACCAAAAAATGGTCTCTAAAAATGTTATATATCAATATTTTTTTCTACTTTAAATTAGTCAATCTTTTAAAACTACTTCTGCTTAAAATATCCATGTCAAGTTTTAATTATATTTTCATTGTTTTAACCCTTTAAATCCCAGTTTTATTACATGAGCGCCCTGTTTTTTTAGCCCCAAAAAAACAAAAAAACTAAATATTTTCCAAAAAAAAACATTTGAAGTAATATTTGTTTGTTATTATAATTAGGCCTTTAGATGGACTAAAGATTGGCACCAACAGTCATTTCGATCGCCTTTTATTTTTTTTCCAGGAGCGCATTTCATAAAATGCACACTATCGACCACGCCCAAAAAGTGCTATAAAAAATTTATATATTAATATTTTATTCCACTTTAAATTAGCCAATCTTTTAGACCTACTTCTCCTTGAAATATTCATGTCAAGTTTTAATTACATTTCGCGGATTTTAACCCTTTATATCCCGGTTTCGTCACATGAGCGCACTGCTTTTTTTGCCCCAAAAACATAAAACATAAAACATAAAATATTTTCCAAAAAAACATTTGAAGTAATATTTTATTGTTATTATAATTAGGCCTTTAGATGGACAAAAGATTGGCACGAACATTAATTTCGATCCGGTTTTAATTTTTTTCCAGAAGCCAAAAATGTCCCCAGGCGGCGCTGCTGCTCCTGCTCCCCCGGGGAGGAGTGCCTCTGCCGCGGGTGTGTTTCGCGCAGCGCCGGAGCATATGGTTCGGTTCCCGTGTCTGCAGCACACACTTCCGCTACCACGTGAAAACAAATACGTCATTTCCTGTTGATTAAAAAAAATTAATGCACCCTCAAACGAACCTAAGGTCAGAAAATGGTCCGGAACGAGCAGCGGGCCAAGCTGCTGCTGTACGCGGGAAATTAGTCTGCCTTTTCCGGGTATCTGTCTCGAGCAGGCCGCTGGAGAACATGTGTATGTTCCAGCAGGCATCACATGTGGAGCAAGGGCGCCACCCGGTGGACAAATAAAAAAATTACAACTCTAAGGCCTGTAGTCCAAAACGAAACCTAAGCTGGAAACCTGACGATCCCTTTGACCATATTTTTTCTGGCGTGAAAAATAGCGTTTATAATGGGTTTCAATGGGGCACAAATCGGCCACGAGGTTCGATAGTGGATGTATGCCTTTTATTCAGCCATTTAAGCTCATTTAAAAAACTCAGACTGAAATTTTAAACTAAAATGGGAAAAAAATACATGTTCCATTAAACACAGTGGAAATGGCGTGGAATTAAAAAACGGAAAGGCCACGAAAATGGTCCCAGGTTCTACAGAGGGTTAACCTGTGAAACATCCACACCTCGATTAGTTATGACCAGATTTTAGCAAAAAGAATTTCCTGTTTCATGTTCAGCTGCTCAAAGTGGTGACTGCTGCAGTATCACTATGCTTCATTGTGGACGTAAAGACTTGAATTCCATCACAAACTAATTTGTGCTGCGAGAAACATGATCAAACACACTTTCTGCTTTTGCAGAATAAACTACATTTACAGAAGAGATGCGTTCATGCAAACATTTATTTCAGCTCTTAGTTTTCACACGTTTAACTTCCTCTATTCTCCTCTACTGGAGTCCTCCCTGTGACGTACTGAAATAACAAAAAACTTGCAAATTGCATCGAATAAACGTAGAATGTGGAAAAGCTTTTTCATATATTTGATGTTTAAACGTCACAGGCAAGTTAGAGATCTTCCGTACTGAGAATCAAATTCATCCAGCAAGTGTGTTGTTGATGTCACTATGAGGAAGTGAGCAGGAAGTCAGTGCTGTATTCATCTTTGTTACTGCCTCACTTGTGAACGTGAGAGCAAGAGTAGAGACTGAGAGAGACGGAGAAGCACGATGGCTGAGTTCAGATGGATTCAAATGTTTCTGTTCCTGATACTGACGCTTCAGTTTAAAGGTAAGAACACACAACACGTTATAAATGAATAACCTGATGTTACATCATTCATCCTCTAACTGAGGCAGCCATGTTTTGTTTGCAACTTTCTGTTGAACCTTTGAAACCAGGGGTGAGCTAATTCTCACACTAACTATGAACATCACAGTCATATCCATGTTACAGTTTATTTTCCAAATGTATTTCTCTTTTCCACAGCAGCAGTGACTGGACAACATGGCCCCACATTCCTGATCAGACTTGGTGATGAGGTCACTTTGCCTTGTCAAAATGTGACAGTTGGTCAGCCTGAGTGTAGCAGAACTGACTGGATCTTCAGACGTTTGAATGTTGCTGACACAGTCAGGCTGATTCATCTTGGTTTGATTGAAGAAAAGCACAAAAATAAATCAGACAGACTGAGTGTTACAGCAAACTGTTCTCTGGTCATAAAGAACATCACAGTTCATTATGCTGGTCACTACACCTGCAGACACTACACATCACAAGACCAACAACACTGTGGAAAATCCTGTTCTTCTCTGTCCGTCATCAACAGTGAGTATTTACATCATCCTTTCACATCGAAATGTCCTGTTAGAGAAACAAACTAAACTCTTACAGTAAGTATGACCACAGTGATGAAGTTAATTATCTTTATTGTTTGTTTTTCTCTCTCAACATGTCTCCATCTGTACGACTGAAGTGACTGAAGATGAGAACAATGGTACAGTCATCTTGTCCTGCTCTGTGTTGGAGTATGATCCATGTACACACACAGTACAGTGGATCTATGAGGGTGAAGAGAAATCCTCAGACATGCAGATATCACCACCAGGCTGCACTGCCACTGTGACATTTACAACATCTCACCTTAATCAGAAGTTTTTTGAGTCATTAAAGTGTAATGTGATGAACAGAGATGGGCAGTAACGCGTTACTTGTAACGCGTTACTGTAATCTGATTACTTTTTTCAAGTAACGAGTAAAGTAAGGGATTACTATTGCAAAATCGGTAATTAGATTACCGCTACTTTCCCGTAGGAACGCTGCGTTACTGCGTTACTAAAACCGTGATTTTTTTTGCGAGAATGTCTCATGACAGTGACGTAAGCAAGTGCGACGTTGGTGACAGCAGCTGTGTGCAGATCAACAATGGATAATATATCGAGTGCGGGAGAGAGTATGAGCGTGCAGCATTTAAAGTGTGGAAGTACTGACCTTACTTTGAGTTTGATTCCATAAAAAGTGACAAAAACATTAGCGTCCATCGTGCGTGGGAAGAAAACTTCTTTTTACAGCAAAAAAACCCCCTAAACTTCTGAGCAAGCACCGAGTAGCTACGATGTGATGGGAAACTCACAGAGACACTCGCGCGGATTCTTCAACTGACCGCAGCACACCTACACCAGGGTAACCCTCCGCCTACCCTGCTCCTGCTTTACAGGTGAAAATAGAGCAAAAGGACCGCTGAGTCTTTGACTTTATTTATTTTCTGCTGTGTTTTACTTGCATCTGTTTGAAAGAGTGAGTGAAAACACAAAAAATATTTTATTTTATGTGCTGGAATGTGTAGAAAATAGGTTTAAATGTTAAACTAATTTATTCAAGTCAGAGAATGTTGCATATAATTAAATGTTTTGCTTGATGCATAAAGTTAAAAGATTAAAACTAATAAAACAAGTTAAAAAAAGAGACTTTTCCATTTGATTACATTTTGTATGATGGATTATGTAGAAAAAGTAGAATTGGGCTGAAAGATCTATCACTTTATCACCTCTTCAGGTTGTAAATCGTGTTTTTAAAAAGTAACTAAGTAACTAAGTAACTAAGTAATTAATTACTTTTGAAAATAAGTAATCAGTAAAGTAACGGGATTACTTTTTGGGGGGAGTAATCAGTAATTAGTTACTGATTACTTTTTTCAAGTAACTTGACCAACACTGGTGATGAATAAGTACAGTAAGAAAGTGCAGCTGTTTCCTTTCAGCCGTCAGTCCTCAGGTGGGACAACAGGTGAGAATATTAACTTTAATAACACAATAACACAAAATAGAAATATCACACCTGCGTTTGTCATGACTGTTGTAAAGGTAACAAAGTTTGTCCTAAGTGAACACTCTTCTTTTTAAATTTGTGTATTTGTTCAGATGGGGATAAATCCTCAGATGGCAAAATATTTCTTTCTTTCCATCTCTTTGTGTTATCATTCATTTTTTACCTTGCTCAGTCACTCTCAGTGTGTTTCAGTCTCTTGTTACAAGTTGTTGTTTTCAGCTCATCATAACCACATTGAGCAGATTCATTAAATCTGTCTGTTATTGTTCCTCTATGTTTAGCAAACTCTTAATTGTTCATCATTCATCACATGGAAGAAAACTAAAGGAGTTTAACAAATGAAAAGAAATCCGCAGATATGCAGATATTACCTTCAGGCAGCGCTGCCACCGTGACCTTTACAACATCTCACCTTCATCTGCTTTTTTGAGTTATCATTGTGTAATGTGTGAGGTGTGACACATAGTGAGCATATTAACCTATTAAGCTTTTTCTAAAAGAACACCTTTTTAAAAAAATCTGTATTTGTTCTGCTGGAGCTGTACAGCTGAAGGTGTACTAAATGTTTATATTAAGTGTTTATTTTTGTGAGAACAATTCCACACTTTGTAATGATATTTAAATATTGCAAATAGAAAGGTAAACACACAAAACATATACTCACCACAACCTATAACACTGTCTGTATTTATAATATGTGAAATCTTTGTTTTTTCTCCATAAAACAAAAATCTGAAACAAAACCTGAAGATTCAGATTTTCCATCATTGTTGAGATGCATCATTATGTCTGTGGGTTTAGCAGCGCTCTTAATATCTGCTGTTACAGTCAACATGTGGGCAAAAACTAAAGGTGAAAACATTCACAGATTAAACTTTTATACCAGAGACGCGTTGATGAAGTTGAAATTTACTCTCTCTTTTTCTTTTAGTAAACAAACCGCAAAAGGAAAAAAGAACTGTGAGTATAAACACTGAATATTCAGATAATTGATCATGATTATGGTTTTTATGTTTTTGGATTCTGAAATCTTCTTTAATTGTAATTTATTGGATGCAACATAAAGATAATTTTAAAGAATTTCCACAAGTTTACATTTAAACAACATTTGAATCTATTTGGAGTTTTTTGTTTCCAAGTGTTTTGTGTTTTGTGTCGGGGTGGGTTTCAGTAATCAATTTTCCAATTAAAATCGATTTTAGCTTGAATAACGTGATATCGATTCATTAAAATCCTAAATAACTTTTTAAATTTAAATGTATTTTGCCAGAAACACCAGAAGCTCAGGTTAAAACTTTAATTTCAACAACCACCACACAGCAAAAACAGTAAATGAGAGCAGATAAATGGATTCCACACAAAGACGTAAACACAAAGTGCGGACCTGAAACATCAGAATCAGCGAGCTGTCAGCTTTCTCACCCGACACCACGTACACGGACACGTCACCGGCTCACAGATTCTAATGCTACAGGTTTCATTACTTTCTGACCAAAATTCACTGAAAGAAGATACAAACTACGCTTCACATTCGATAAATATTGTTATTAATTCCCACCACGATAAAATCACACTTCCTACACAGCTCTCTCGCTCTCTCTCTCTCTCTCTCTCTCTCTCAGTGTTTCCCATCTCAAATCTCTGTTTTCTGCTTTATTCGTTTGCTTATTACGCACCAGCCTACCATTGTGTACAGTGCTGACGGCCGCTGTTTTGGTTGTTGTTGTTGTTGTTGGTTTTCTTTTCAAAAATGACCTCCAACAAGAAAGCCACATTTCTGGTGTTCGATACAGAAGAAATTTAAACTTTTTAAAATTCTGCCAAATTGCGAAATGCTTAGCTGTGTCCCTATTAATACCTCTGTAACTTTGCTCTGCTTCACTTCAGCAGCATTTGGTAATGTTCATATGCGGATTCATGGTTTTCTTCAGTTTGTGTTCTATTGCAGAATATTTTTAGCCAGGCCAGGAAACTCTCCTTCATGTTTTTCTGTGTTTTATCCTCAGTTACTTGGACACAAAGGCATTTGCTGTGATGCTTACACTTCTGATAAAGTCTCACAAGTGTCAGCTTTCTGTTTATAGATGTAAAAATATGGATAAGTGGTCAGAATTGTAACAATTTTGACTGAGGTAAAATTTCCCTGATTCAAATCGACTTAAATAGAAGAAATCAGAGACGATACCCAGCCCTAGTTTTCTGTGTTCTCTTGTATCTAGTCCAGTCTTCATCTCTGCATTAAGTATTTACTTGTTTATATACTTCATGTTTTATTTTGTTAATCTCGTGCTTCAGTTAAACTTCCTGTCTGTGATTGTGTCTGTTTATCCGTACCGCATCTCCACTTCCACAAGTTTTCCCTGTGTGTATTTATCTCCTCTTTGCTCCTTCTCAGGTATTCTGTTGTTTTCTACCGTGTGTTCTCAGTAAGTGGGATTCTGTTTTTTGTTTGTCTTCACTGGAGCGTTGTACTCTTGGACTGCTGTCAACCACGTGTAAATATGTCATGTTAAATCCTGCCTGCTTGTTTTGTAGAGTCTGCTTTTGGGTCCCTACAGCTGATAAATGCAGTTATTTGTTCCTATGAACTGTGAACATACACACAGGAGAAGACTAAAGAGAAGAATACACTGTGCTCACAGTTAGAGTGAAATTACATGTTATCTCAGGAAATTATTTTTTTTTGGGGAGTGACGGTTTTCTAAAGAAAAAATAATCTGTGCACGGAGATGATGCAGACACAAACCTGAAAACTCCAAACAGTCCAAACATATGAATATCAGTTATATGAGAGAATCTAAAGTGTGTTGTGTTGTTTTCCACAGGTGCAGAATGATGAAGATGACGGTACAGTGACTTTGAAAACTCTCGAGACCCTTCTGCTTCTGTCAGACTTCACTGATCATTAACATCAACTCAGCAAAGAAACAAGGCGACTTCTGCTGAAGATCATCTCATCACATTTTATATGTGAAGAACACAGACTCACAAGATCATTTTAATATTTTCAATGTCCTTACACTCCACTTTTCATCCAGTAAGATGAGGATTTTATCATACAGTGTTTCCTGCCATGTTCACATAAACCTCCCGTGTCGAGCTACATACCGTCTCTCTCCCTCTGCTTTTACTCTTTTTGTCTCTCCATATGTTGTGTTTGTGAGAGAGAGACTGATCAGCTACATCTGTCTCAAATACCTAATCACAGCCATTTAAACACACTTTCATCCACTCAGTCATTTCTAGATTGTTGTGTTAGGTGTGTCTGTAGCATCACTCAGTCTCCATAGAAGAACCTTGACTTCTTTGCATTTCCTGCTTTCTCCTCTGACTAATCTTAAATTTCTTTAAATTTCCTCCTCCTGATCAAATACTCAGTTCTGGAATAACTGCCTGCTCTTCCTCCACCACTCACCAAACCCAGCAGCTGGAACCATTCACCCTCACCTGCATTTTCAAAGTCTTTGTCATAAAACTCTCAACCTGATTCCAGTGTTACAGCCTGCTTTAAAGTCCACTTCTTCTGTTTAACAATAATAATAATCAAAAAGCAAATGTAATTTCAAACCTGCATATAAATCTGAATGAAACAGTTTGATCTCACCTTCATCCAACATGAACATGTAGATGCATCATTTACCTGTCAGAGTCCGAATGACTGATAGTTCTTAAATCATCCGTCACTCTGCGTTATGTGATCTGTAACAACTTGTTTTTGTTATAACTCATGAAAATATAACGGAAAGTATTTATGAAGCATTTTCTATCATGTGTGTACATTTGTGTGTGGACAGCTCACATTCCCATATGGAAAAGATATATATATATAAATCTTATAAAGTTTGTATCTGTCTTGTGTGAAACTTGTATGAAAAGCATACAAGAGTGAAAACAGATATAAGATTGCTTGAAAAATCATATAAATGAAACGTGTATGTTTTGGATACTTACTAAAACAATATATGAAAGTAATGAGAAAGTGGCCACTTTCATGAGTAAATCATATAAGCTTTATATGATCCATTATATGAAGTAGGCCACATCTTATGCAAGTCTTTTATAAGTTTTCACTATTTCTTTTCCATATGGGTTGTGACAGCAATGTAACTGATGACAAGAGTTTAACTTCACTGTGTGCTTTATTGCCATTTTGCCCTCATTATTATGTTTTACTATAAAAGTATCACATGAAATACTTAACTGCCTGTTCTGTTTAAATACATTTACATTTTTATGAGCACACTGGTAGGATGCTCAGCTATAAAAGGCACATTACTGTGAAATAGTTTTAAAAGGTCAGTGGCAGTGACAGTCCAATCACATTAACCTGTGAAACATCCACACCTCGATTAGTTATGACCAGATTTTAGCAAAAAGAATTTCCTGTTTCATGTTCAGTTCATCAGACACGACCTATGCAGCTGTTTTTATGTCATCATGTATGTTTTTGGTTTTATCTACTGAAATTAGGGTAATTTTAGTATCAAAAAGCTGCAAAGTTAACTGAACCTTGTCACCTTCACATAATAGTCAAATAATAATAATAATAACAATAATAATAATTAACACATGGTTGAAAAATTTTATTTCAACTTCCATTAATCATTGTAATGAATGCATTCTACCTGTACTTGAAACTGAGCTGATTTTGTGTCTACATCCAAAAAGAAAAATGAGCAGCGTGCTGTAAACTATTAAACAAATATATTTGATTTTGTAAAAATCTGAATAGAATGTTTAGATGTTTGTGATGATTGATTTCATAGACCATTTATAATGAAGCAGTAAATAAAAGCAGAATGCAGAATACAAAGATCATGTCTGATGTATTGAACATGAAACAGGAAGTTTTCAGCTTAGAATGAATCCAGCTCCAGATGTGTCACAGGTTCATCTAGCTGTAGTGAATGGCACGTTGCCATAGATGGCGCCATAGTTTAGTTGTGAGGATTGTCGTCTTTAAAGCATCCTAAGAAATGTTTGTTTGTTTGTTTGTTTGTTTGTGCACAAAGTATTCTCAGTATTTACTTTAGTAGCAGTTCCTGAAAAGTTGAGTCCACAGCACATCTGTCTCACCCTCACCGGTTCATCTGGAACACCAGGAGCGGGCTGCTCTCCGCGGACATCATGAGGTCAGCTGACCGCAGCAGAGCAGAGCCAGGCAGCTGTTACACTAACGGGACCTGACATCTCCGAGAACACTGGAGATTTTTTTCAGACAGGCTCTATGTTGGCAAATCAACCGGATATTTAAAGATCACACCGCTTCACTCTGCGCCTAACAACTCTTCACAGTGTATTTAGTGACACAGAAACAGCAATAATACAAAAGTTTACTGTGAGGGAAGGTCCACGCCCTAAAGCGCATGTAGCCAATCAGATGTTACGGTCTGTTCACTAGCTAAATTATTTCATGATTCAAGCACAGGAGCAATAAAATAATACATTAAACAGGACACTAGTTGAATATATTGATTAAAAAAAAAAATAATGACAGAGTTATCATTTGTTTGTGTATTTATTTTATTTTAATGCTGATGAGGCTACATTTGTTTGTGATGAGCTCTGATATTTATCTAAAACATATAAATGCACCCGTAATTAATGTAACTGTTGTGTTTTAACAAATCATACTGAGGCGTAATTCAGGAACAGAGCTTCATGTGAACATTACTCATAGTTTGAAATTAAGTTACTATAGTTTCACAAAAATCAGAAACCACTTGCAGTAAAACATCTCGAAACAACATTAACAGGCGTGTTGTGTTTAAGATGGTGGGAAGTCTAAAGACAGTCCAGTGAGAAACTCGTCAGTGTGTTAACCATTTGTGGTTCTGGTGTTTATCTGGTCATCATTACAGGCTCAACCCTCCAGAGCTCTGCTGTTGTTGTACCAACCGTCTCAACAAAACACTTCCCCTTCATTTCTCAGAAATAAATGACTTCATTGGTGCAATGAGGTGCCAAAAGGTCTCAGACCACTAATACATCTTATCTGTGTTTTTATCTAGCTGCTCCAAGTGGTGACTGCTGCAGTATCACTATGCTTCATTGTGGACGTAAAGACTTGAATTCCATCACAAACTAATTTGTGCTGCGAGAAACATGATCAAACACACTTTCTGCTTTTGCAGAATAAACTACATTTACAGAAGAGATGCGTTCATGCAAACATTTATTTCAGCTCTTAGTTTTCACACGTTTAACTTCCTCTATTCTCCTCTACTGGAGTCCTCCCTGTGACGTACTGAAATAACAAAAAACTTGCAAATTGCATCGAATAAACGTAGAATGTGGAAAAGCTTTTTCATATATTTGATGTTTAAACGTCACAGGCAAGTTAGAGATCTTCCATACTGAGAACCAAATTCATCCAGCAAGTGTGTTGTTGATGTCACTATGAGGAAGTGAGCAGGAAGTCAGTGCTGTATTCATCTTTGTTACTGCCTCACTTGTGAACGTGAGAGCAAGAGTAGAGACTGAGAGAGACGGAGAAGCACGATGGCTGAGTTCAGATGGATTCAAATGTTTCTGTTCCTGATACTCATGCTTCAGTTTAAAGGTAAGAACACACAACACGTTATAAATGAATAACCTGATGTTACATCATTCATCCTCTAACTGAGGCAGCCATGTTTTGTTTGCAACTTTCTGTTGAACCTTTGAAACCAGGGGTGAGCTAATTCTCACACTAACTATGAACATCACAGTCATATCCATGTTACAGTTTATTTTCCAAATGTATTTCTCTTTTCCACAGCAGCAGTAACTGGACAACATGGCCCCACATTCCTGGTCAGAGTTGGTGATGAGGTCACTTTGCCTTGTCAAAATGTGACAGTTGGTCAGCCTGAGTGTAACAGAACTGACTGGATCTTCAGACGTTTGTATGTTGCTGACACAGTCAGGCTGATTCATCTTGGTTTGATTGAAGAAAAGCACAAAAATACATCAGACAGACTGAGTGTTACAGCAAACTGTTCTCTGGTCATGAAGAACATCACAGTTCATGATGCTGGTCACTACACCTGCAGACACTACACATCACAAGACCAACAACACTGTGGAAAATCCTGTTCTTCTCTGTCCGTCATCAACAGTGAGTATTTACATCATCCTTTCACATCAAAATGTCCTGTTAGAGAAACAAACTAAAATCTTACAGTAAGTATGACCACAGTGATGAAGTTAATTATCTTTATTGTTTGTTTTTCTCTCTCAACATGTCTCCATCTGTACGACTGAAGTGACTGAAGATGAGAACAATGGTACAGTCATCTTGTCCTGCTCTGTGTTGGAGTATGATCCATGTACACACACAGTACAGTGGATCTATGAGGGTGAAGAGAAATCCTCAGACATGCAGATATCACCACCAGGCTGCACTGCCACTGTGACATTTACAACATCTCACCTTAATCAGAAGTTTTTTGAGTCATTAAAGTGTAATGTGATGAATATGAACAATGGGAAAGTGCAGCTGTTTCCTTTCAGCCGTCAGTCCTCAGGTGGGACAACAGGTGAGAATATTAACTTTAATAACACAATAACACAAAATAGAAATATCACACCTGTGTTTGTCATGACTGTTGTAAAGATAACAAAGTTTGTATTACGTGAACACACTCTTCTTTTTAAATTTGTGTATTTGTTCAGATGGGGATGAATCATCAGATGGAGGTAATGGCAAAATATTTCTTTCTGTCCATCTCTTTGTCTTATCATTCATTTTTTACCTTGCTCAGTAACTCTCAGTGTGTTTCAGTCTCTTGCTACAATTTGTTGCTTTCAGCTCATCATAACTGCACCAGTGACCACATTAACATTATCATTTGGTTTTACAGGTTCATCATTGCTGTATATTATTGTTCTTGCATGTTTAGTAGCACTCTTAATTATTGTAGCATTCGTCATATGGAAGAAAATGAAAGGTGCGAACATTTCCAGATTAAACATATCACCAACAACTGTTTAATAAAGTTTAGACTTCAGTGTGAAAATTAAATTTCTTTTCAGGGAAAAAAACACAAAGGGAAGACAATGCTGTTGGTTTAAACACTGAAGTAAGTAAAGATGGCAATGGCTTTACTGTAAAAAACATAGGCATAATAGATAATGTGAACATACAATTATGAACATAAAAACAAAGTAAATAAACAAACAAAGTAAAATAAACAAAGTAAAACATCACAAACAGCTGCCTATCAGTATGTTAAATCCTCCGTAATACAGCTAATTCTAATGTTTTACCAGTCCTGGGTGTAGTAGTAAACCCAGGACTGATATTTATGTACGTATGTAATGGAATAAAATATGTAATTCATATGTTACTTACCTGTGTTTGTGCAGGGATTAGGTTTAAACCCAGCTGAGATTCAGTCTGATCCAGGAAACAGTCAGGAGATGGTGAGATCAAACAGTATCAGGAGTTATAGTTACTCTCAGAGTAACTATGATCTTTGTTCGATATATGATGATAACGATTTAATATAATTATTTAAAGGTGTCATTCTGTTGTGTCCACTGTGTAGGATGATCTTGAGGATGGTGTTAACTATGCTTCCATCAACTACACTAAGAAGGCCAACAGTAAGGCCAGTGCTCAGGTAAGTGTTTATGAGAGTGACATTATTCACAGCATGATGAGGTTTTGTGTTGGGTAAAATTTGTTGTGTCATTTTTCCTTTTAGGTCCACGATGATGAAGGTACCACTGTGACATACAGCACAGTGAAAGCTCCCTCAGCTTCTCTTGAAGTCTCCACTGATCCCAGCAACCTGTATTCCACCATCACCAAATAAGATACTGTATTTAAAGATTACATGTTTTAATACTGTTATTTGGATCTTATATTTAGAGTTATATCGTCTACTTCAACATTACATGGGTATACTGAAGGGTTTATAAAATAAATCTAGTTTATTTTACTGTCTATTTTGTTTATTTGTTGTTTATGGTTTTGGAAAATAAATAAATTAATGAATAATTAAATACATTGGATTACACGTGTGCTCTTTCCTGTGCTTTACTGGAATTTAGAACTATTGCAGTGCTGCTAATTTACTTTCTTGTAATTAATAGAGAAACAAAAGCAGAAACTTGTGTAAAAAAAGCCAGTGATAGTTAAAAGACTGTGTAAACTGAGCTTTTTATAGCATTTTCATGAACATTACCAGACCTCAGTAACACGTTTGTCTTTTGACTTTTTCTGCCAAAGTTGTGTATGTTGAAGTTTAATTTTTAAAAAAGAGGAAACTACCAGACATCTGCTGCTATTTCCACATACACACAGTTTGAGCTGCTACCAAGAAATGACACCTCCCTCAGTAACACCCACACTTATCACATGTCATTATTTCATAAGGCAGTGGGTCAGCTTTTTTATTAATACTATATTGAGTACTAAACTTTTCAAATATAAGAAATCTTAATAATTAAACAACCTAAAAAGTCAGTGAAGTCAGCTGCGCTGGGTAACTGTGGAGTTGTTTCTCTATTACTGCGTGCTTTTGTTTTGTTTTTTTAACCACAAAAACACTTCCTGGTTTAGTGACAGAAACACTAAACATCAGTAAGAGAGATCAGCCTGCTTCATTTTATAGACAAGAAAATGTGTACTTGATACTGGCAGAGAGAGCAGTATAGTGAAATAAGACAACACAACGTGTGTGTCATTGTGGCAGTTTCTGTTCCTGACTGTAGGAGGAACCGAATACTCGTCACCCACTTGATTAGGTGGTGTAAATGTCTAGTCAGTCAATCAAGTGGCAGCACAGTCAAACCGAACATCAGAACGGGCAAGAAAGGAAATTTAAGTGAACATAGCCGCTCTGCCACCTGAGCCACAGGTCACCGTGCTCAAATTGTCTCCAGATCTTAATCCAATAGAGCATCTTTAGGATGTGGTAAAGGGGAGATTTACATCATAGAAGTGCAGCTGACAAATCTGCAGCAACTGTGTGATGCAGTCATGTCAATATTGACCAAAATCTCTGAGTGTCCACGGGTCAAGACACTGATATCTGTATTATCCAGCTCACCCTGCTGAAATAGCAGAGCCCAGAGTTTACTTCATCATCAAAGTTGATGGCGCCCACTTGAGTTGGATTTTGATCAAGCAATGTACCAACATGGTGCCCAAGACTGCTGAAAACTACAGTGCCATCTGCATATGTGAGTAGGGATTCAGCTACAAGGGCTGCACCTTCCACCACATCATGCACCGGTTCACATGTGTCACCAACCACAACTGGACCGGAGGGAAGTCCATCTACTGTTAAACACATTACTATTTTAGTTTGGGAAAGTTGGAATTTACCACATAAAAAAATCTAAATAAAATCTGTTTTTCTTTTTGAGATTGAATTCCCTGTTATGTATTGATATAGAAACAGAAACTCTGATATTCTGAATAATTAAACAAATATCTGTACTTTGGTGGAGAGTTCTGGTTTACTTTAATGTCAAATACTTTTAGTCAATGTGACTGTTTTTGCTTAATGTGTAATGGTAACTTTTTACGTCCACTGCAGAGATCAGGGGCAACAAGTAGTAACACATAACATTTTTTTATAGGAGTAACTATTCAAAGGTTCCTGCAACTTTCCAAACGCAGCTATTTTAGTTTAGTTTTAAAACTCTGGAGGACATGTCATTGTGATGCAGCACAAAAGTATTACATTTATTCTTAAGAAAAACTACATATGCAAAGCTGAGCTTAAACAAAATACATTTCTGTACTGCTACTCTATATCTCACCACAGAGTGGCAGCAGAGAGTCTTCAGAGATCGTGGAAAGAAATCAAAATAAAACAAAGTTTCTTCAGCTGTATTTTATGGATAACATGCTTTCCAGTAAATGAGCAGGATGACTCCAGCATTATGCATGTGTCCTTCTCATTTTACTGCAATGATAAAAGTACTGACTGTACTGTGTTTGTTTTCTTGGATAACAAGATTTGCAGTTTGTGGATTTTTAAGCTTACAATTCAGATGATGAAACTGAAACAACTAAACAAAGTGATAAAATTAGCATGTTTCATATCTGATATGTAAAACGCAACGTACTGTATAAATATCTTATCTTGTGAACTGGACAATATCAGAAGAGAGTATTTGTCTTTATAAATCCTTCATGAATGGGTTTATTGTTAACCATAACAAGAAGTTTGCTTTGCTTTATGTAACTGAAAACTTGGTGCTTGAATCAGATGTGACGCCATCATTTTTACAGTTTGAGAAAGTTACACACACACGCACAGGGATTCAGTCACAGTAATTAGTGTGTGTGTTGAGCATGAAGACATTGTAGCTGTGGGGGTCATTAATGCAGTTAAGGACAAAAGGCTGTCAAATAAAGTGATTCTGCTTCACTGACGCGTCCCTACAGGAAACATTCCAGACATGAAAAGTTCTGTCTGTACCAAAAGACTAACAGAAGATAAAACGAAGTAAAAGAAATATAAGTAGTGGGCAGTGGCGGTTTTTGATATGGGCGACATGGGCATTTGCCCAGGGCGGCATCATGGCATTGCAAAAAAAAGTTCCTCTCACCTACGCTGCCCCGACATCATGCCAGTGCATTTTAGGAATTGTACAGGCACCGAATGGTTTTCTTTTGCCCATTTGTGGGGAGTAAGGGCGCCCTTCATTAACGAGGTGCGCCTGCTGCTTGCTGCACAGGGAGGAGAGGGGCGGGGTGGCGGGGGTTCTCTGGCTGTTTGGAGTAGTGCCTAATAACCAAATAAAAATAAATAAATAAAAACAAACAAACAGGGCTGTCAATGTTAACTCCGTCATCATGATTAACACAATTAAATTTTTTTAATGCAATTAATCCATCTGGAGCACAGACTGACTCAAAATTCCTGAAATGTCAACGCATTTTGGGCAGTTTGTCCAAAGTTTGTCCATTCTGAGCTCCAGATGGGTTGATTGCATTAAAAATTTGAATCAGGTTAATCGTAATGATGCCGTTAAGGCATTAACGTTGAAAGCCCTACAACAAACACAAAAACTGAAAACATTGTGATATAGATTTATAATTTGCACCGATGTGTTTTCTAAATTTTATCACACACATATAACCTAAAAGTGAGCGCGAGGGCCATCGGAGCGTCTGCTTGCTGCTGCTGCTCACACATCGCCTGTCAAAAGGGGAGGGGGCGTGCTGCTTCCAAATAACGATTCATAATATTGTAAATCCAAGTCCATTATGTATTAATTATTTTCCTGGGTTGTGTGAAATCCCAGAAAAAAAAAACTCTATACAACCCGAATCTGTGCATTAAGGTGTAGGTCTATTTATGCTGTGGGGTTGGGTGTTGATAGTGGAGTGCAAAATTACTAATGGAAGATGGAGAATAAAAGGTCAAATTTGCCATCAGGTCCTCAGTTTAGAAAAAAAAGAGAAAAGAAGAAGAGGAGAAATGAGCAAAAGATACACGTAAGCAGATGTGTCTTTGGATAATGGCAGGTTATGTATTCTGAAACAAGATAACATTTATAGGGATTCGGAAAACTTCTGTTTACCTTTGTTAGCTACTTGGCTATGATAGTAAACAGTAGACAGACAGTACACACTGATGTGGCTTATTGAATCTTTTGGACTGTGTTCAGCACAATATTAATTAGCCATTAATTGGAAGAGCTGTATTGTTTATTTGTCTGCTATTCTCAGTGTGTGACGAATTATAATGACAGTTTGTTAACCACTTGCATACTCTCTCTCTCTCTCTCTCTGTCTTTCACTATATATTTATATGGTTAAATTCAATTCAGTATGGTTCTGACAACAGTTTTCACAATAAAATATGTTAATGTAATCCTTAATATGTTTGATGTGTGTGAGTGTGTGTCCGGGGGGTGGGGGGAGTGTTCGCCTAGGACACCAAACAGGCTCGGACCGCCCCTGAGTATGGGTTAACTCATGAACCTCATAGACAAGTAGCTCGTTCTCTAAAACCTCTGAACACAATCTTATTTTTAAAAACACAGATTGCAAGCTATAGTCATTAACTTTGCCTTATTTTTGATGAAATATAATTGCAAAATTATTCTTTACTCCATTACTTTTAAATGTTAAATTCCCTAGCTTGACATATGGCAATGATTCCTATCCCCAAACCCACTGGCATCCCTGAATGAGAGTAATTACATCATCAAGCATATAAATGGACACATTTAGCTTTCTTTTTTTCTTACCCTTGTCAAGAATATGACCCAATTCAAGTATCCAATCACAACCCAGTGAAAATCTCCTGAGCCAATAGGATGCCTGGTGACACCCACCTGCATGCATAATAATAAGAAGCTATAAAATAACATAAGGGGGGTGAACCTGCATAAGCTGCAGCTTGCTCAGTGTGCTTTGGAGATAACTTTGCCTCTCTGCAAACCTTCACCATGGTCGACGCCTTCTGTGCCACTTGGAAACTGATTGAAAGTGAGAATTTCGATGAGTATATGAAAGGACTTGGTAAGTAACAAACTTTCTTTTTTCTTTCTTTTTAAATACACAAATGCAATATTCTTTTGCACAAAAACGTTGTGATTAAAAATAGATGAAGGAGACTTGTAACCCAGGTATATTATCACCCCTGTCCTTTACTTAGGTGTTGGCTTTGCCACCAGGCAGGTTGGTAATGTGACCAAGCCGACTGTAATCATCAGCCAGGAGGGAGACAAGGTGGTGATCCGCACCCAGAGCACCTTCAAGAACACAGAGATCTCCTTCAAGCTGGGAGAGGAGTTTGATGAAACCACTGCTGATGACAGGAACTGCAAAGTGAGTTGACAATGAATGAATAAAAGAAAGATTTACAGCTTTTTGATTGTGGTCTGATTATCATTAAAAAAAATAAAATGTATTTCAAAGTACAAGAAAGCAAAATCCAAATTGTATGTTCACTGT